ACCGCACCAATTTACTCGATAAAAGCTGAATTGACATTGGGAAGGAATAGGACCATTTTCGATGTCACCACTGCCGCTCACCATGGCCGGGAATCAAAGTGCCGTCACCTGGTTCGTAGCGCAGTGAGCTGCTATTGACCGCGCCAGTCACTCCACGCGCACACTCGCACTGCTCGTGCTCGCCACACAAGCACGTACACGCACACGGGAGACGTGGAGAACTCTGGAGCTTGACGTATCTCTCAAATTCGGACCCCCGTTGTTTTCGCAGGTGCATAGGCAGTGGGCCTGGAGAGTGAATACGGTCAAATTTATTAGTGGGAGGGGGGAAAAGAATATTGCAAATTGGCAGTTACACGCATTGCGTGCTGGGACGTTGCTGCGGTGCATTGAATTAAAGTGGAAGATGAGCTTTGCTTAGTATTTCTTTTGTTTCTCACGTTGTCACTTCGACTGGTAAGCGTAGTATCGTTCACAAATGCTTGACATGATAGCCATAGAAACGTCTTGACAACAGGGCAGGAGGAGAGGCAAAAAAACCACTCGGTAAACATCAGAGTTCAACGCGAGAATAGAATTGGTCTCGGAGGTCATTTCCGAATGTTTGACTTTGCAGCCGAAGCCGTTATTAACTATCGGGCGAGTTCCTCCTTTGCGCCATTGTCTCCTGCCACGCGGACGGTAACTTGATCATTGCGGCGTTAAGTCTGGGAGTATGAGTTTGCGAGGTGGGGGAAATGCGTGGGTACTTCGCTCATACGTTCTCCTCCGTTCAATGTCACTTGAAGGTGACGGGTGCCTCTGTCTGCACCGTTGCCGCAGCTTGGGTTTAAACCAGACAACCTTGAGCGAGTTTTCACGAAAATCAGGCTGATCAGCAAGGTCGTGCCTCGTAAATTAAATGCCACTGGTTCGCCAGATGCTATGATCTAAAGCGGATATACGAAGAAAGCAGTGCCCAAAGATTAACTACATTGCAGTATAGAAAATTATTATTTCCACGCCAGGTGAGTTTGTGGGTTTTAAAAAACGTGAAGGTTGCACTTGAGTATCTTCATTGCATATTGCCGGATTGAATAAATGTAATCTATCTTCGGCATATTTACCTATCTTCATATGTAGCTATGCGTCTCTGTCTGTCGTAGTAATAATAATATTATGCTTTGTTTATTTACTAATTTGTTGATTCACAATTGAAACATTTCTTTGTAAAATTAATATATCCTGCCAACAAGAAACATGTTTGATAATATTAAAGGTGCTGACATTAATAATGCTTCTATAATAAATAATACATTGTGCACTATTGCCATCTGCCGTTGTTCCAATATCATCCCAGTGTGCTGACGTCACACAATTGACGCATTGTGCCGCGGCTCGGGGTCATGCGCGGAGTGCTGACGCACTATGCAAACATTGCCTCGAATACAAATACAACTTTCTGGGAAATTATTAGACAAACTGGAGCAGCGCTAATTGCAACTTGATGCAGGAGTCTTGCATGCCCATTGCATCTCGATAACAATGTCTTGAGGGGCTTTTTAGGTTGTGTGTAGTGATTCATTTTTTTCGCGTCGTTCTTATTGGTATGTTGAACACATTCGACGACTATCTAGAAATTTTACTTAAAAATTCATGGCGGTTACAATTCACATGTGCTGGATATCAAATGTACTCAGAAGCAGCATTGATTTTTTTTGCTGTAACAGCTTGCCAGTTGTAAATTTCATTAACGTGGCATCAATTGCGACCACATTTTTGCACGCACGCCCTTAAAACCTCATTCTGAATAAATGAATTAATGGCAGGATTATGTTCACGAAAATCCATACAAATATTTTATAAAATATCACCCGCAACCCAATCTCCTTAAAATATATATAATTTTTTCCCGGAGTGATATTTTTTTTGTGGATGGGGAGGACAAACAATTGGTTAAGCACAGAAAGATATGGAGCCCTGCTCAAATCCTGCAGGGCCAGGGGATAATATGGACACATGCTGCACCTTAATTCTGTGCCCTCCCGCACGCAAGGACCTGGCATTTAGCAGAGCTCGCTCCGGCGCTTTTATCAGGCGGCGCCAGACTGTCTTGTCTCTGAGCGAGCCGGGGTTTGTGGGTGGAAAGAGGAGGGTGGAAGCGAGGGGGTGGGGGGGCTCACTGGCTCTGGTGGTGGTGGTGGTGGCGGTGATGGTAAATAATCTGCACGCCCTTCAGTTGGGAGGAGGCCGCAACGTGCAGAATAATACAGCGGCGGCGTGGGCGGCAAATCCCAGCGGCGTTGGGGATCAGCCACCGTCGTCGCTGCAGCCGAGCATGACTCGCATCGCAGATTTGCCCTCTCTGCCGCAGAATTGGAGGGGAGAAAAAATATAAAGAAATAAAACTGTCCCCCCCCCCTTCCCCGCGCACGTATCCCGCCGGCTGTGCCCTCGTCGCGACGATCCGTGTCGACAATTTTGTGTCGAACACACGACTTTGTAAATCTCAATTCCCATTCCGTTTTTGCCGTCAACGGGGATATTTATTATTAATTCGAGAATTTTTTTGGCGAATTGCATTGCCGTGCAAAATGGAAAGTTGTTTGCGCGACGTTGCTCCGTGCGTTTCTCAGCGCGCGGTAATCTTTAATTGGAATGTGCGGCGCAGTCTAATTCCGTTTGTGGAATTTCGTTGCCGAAGCAAGATTGACTTATTTGTATGTTGCAAATGCATTAGCATAGTATGCAGTTACCTCTCCGTATTTTGATAGTGCGCTGTTCGTTGAAAGCAGGACCCAATTTTTTCATGAATGTAAACCCAAGTACTTTCAGCACATTTCCCGTAACGCACTATTAAGTAGTGTTTACCTTGGAAGCATGAACGCTGCTTTGGGAGCAGCGTGTCGATGGACGAGCCAAAATAATCCGATCGAAACATTTTCTATTCTACTTTATCCTGTGATTCTGGAACATATTTTAGTTTTGCCAGTTTAATCCCCTGCTGATAATCGGCAATAATATTTGTTGTTCTTTACTGTACTGGTTATATTACTAAATTGGAGCTGCTGGAAATAAATAACTGCCATGCATATGAACTACACGGGAACTAATAGGATTTCGAATTTCCAAATCGTTTTGTAGCATTGTAAGATTTTCTCTGGTAAATTGGATGCCCTTGAAGAGCTTTACTATTTTATTGGAGGCTCGCCTGTACTTTTAACTTAATGAGAATGTCACCGCTGCAGGTTTAACGGAAGCCGATAAGGGAGGTTTGGGACAGTTCCCTGAGCCCAGCCAGTAACGTTTGTCCGGTTCTTTCGGTGAAAAACCCGACGCTTGGCCCTGGTTCTGTCGCTCGCTCCATTCCGTAAAGCGGGGAAAAAATAGCAACGCTCTCTGGCCGGTCGAGGGCAGAAGCATTCGAAATTCTGGCGTGCGCCACCGCGGGTTCCGGATGAATTGATGCATTAGGTGGCAAGAAGTGCAGGTGACGCAGGCTGTTTACTCTCCACCCGGATTCCCAGATAATCCACTTGAGAGTCTGGCGATTGGTCTCCTGCTATCCCTCTCACCCGCACTCCCACCTGCACCCCCTCCGCCACCACCACATCACTGGCGACATGGTTGAGGAATCCAGAACGTGCGCTCCAGATTTTTATCGCTTCGCGCGTCAGGACTCGTTACCTTTGCGGGACGGGACCGCGATGCTTTCACTTTCGTTTGTCTTGGGCGGTGAGTTTGTGCTCGTTGTGATTTTGGACGGACCGACCGACGGCCTCTTGACCTCCCTCCACCTCCCACCTCGGTTTCGATTTTTCTCATTCAGCGGGTGGTTTTGCGAGACCATCGTAATAAGCCCTCTTGGGTGAGCAAGGAGTGGTAAAATCTCCTTGGCGTTTAAAAATGCAAAAACGTGCAAACGGATCGCACTTTTCTTCGACATTGCAACTTGACCAAGCTTGATATGTCAAGGAAATAATGTACATTGCATTTTTATTTCCATGGAGATGTGAATTATACACTATGTTATGTAATGTTTGAGGTTAAAGTTCATCCTTTTGCATTTTACATGTACTTTAGGGTGTGATTGGGTCATGCATTACAAAACACTGGTTTGGAAAATTCCGACTTTCAGATATGCTGATCTTTCAGGTATTTCCTCTTAGCCGAATAAAAATGCAAGTGCCTTGCAAATGACACATTCATCAGTCACCCTTAAAGTAACAAATCTTCTGAGGTCGCAGCCAAGAAATGTATTGCAAGACCCGTGTTGTCTGAAGGACAGAGCAATATTTCGTTTAAAAAAATTTCATTCAAACGCCTACAACAGCTGCCCTTAGCGGTCCACGACCCTCTCGCAGGATCTCCGCTTGACATGTGACGTTACTTAAAGCAGTTCACTGCCGTTATTTAATGTTGGATAAGGGGCGCTACCCTGCAAATATTTGTTTAATGCTCCCATTACATTGCGTGGTTAATGCAAAATGTTAAACACTGCACTTTGCTCCGTTTCGCTTTTTGTGTTCTGGAGGGGGTGGGGGGTGGGGTGTGGGGGGTTGGATGCTGCGTGTGGTTTTGGCGAGATGTGCTTTAGCAGGGCACTACTTGCAGGTCCATCCTCGTATACCCAGGAGGCAGAGTTAATTGGGTATAAGCCATACACCTCTCTCTTTCTGTGCGCTGCCTGGAAAGACGGGCCGTGCGCTAGCTTCCCTTTTGGGACGAGCCGCCCCCGCAGCTCATTACGCTGCAGATTACGGCCGGTGCAAGCGAAACAGCCACTTGCGCAGGTCTTGAAGAAGAATACGCAGGCTGGTTCGGCGCACGGGGGGAGGTGGGGGGTGGGGGGTGGTGGGTGGTGGGTGGCCAGTCGTACATATGCACACACGCAATGTATGTAACCCCTTGTCATGGTGTCTCTGTAAAAACGGATATAAAATTGCCCCGTGAAATAACAGAGAGGGGAGAGCGTTAACGTGAACGTACCCAACTGTGATGTCTCTTCTCGTTACATGCAGCAAGGAGTTATGGCAGAAGACGAGGTACTGTAAATTGTTTATTTGTCCTTTTTTTGCCACGGCTCTCAATCTCTAATCCTGCATGTATCTGTGATTTGTTTTTATCTGTTGATGTATTAATTTGTTAATGGTCTTGTATCATTTATTTATTCTTATCGTTGTCACTTTACTTTCCGCCGCCCTCTTTACAAAGTGGTGGACCCGCTGTCTGTTGAATCACGTTGTGCTGCTGCTGGGTGAAGCCACGGCTGGCTGTGCGTGATTCAACAACCCCCTCCCCTCTGATCCAATCGCAAGCTTTGCTGCCTTTCCACCTGCCGCTTCTACATCCTTACCACAGTGATATTTTACCTTTGCTGCCACGGAAATTGTATCACACGCTGGCTGTATTGATTAAACACGGGACGGTAATAATAATTTCGACCAAGAGAAATGATGTGCGGGTGAGCCGTTATTTGCGAAAAGGAACAAATCTTATTGAGGGCTTTTAAAAAACGGAGCTTCTAGGATTCATTCGAGCTGGGATTTTTTAAACTCACTATCACTTAAGATCTCCCTGTTTGAGTCATAAAGTAGTCATGGGAGAAAATTGGAATCTGATATGTGTAGGGTTGTTTCGATCTCTCGGATGTAAATGTAGAACACACAGATGGAATCTGGTCTCCGTTTTGGTAATTGGAGTCTGTAATATAACGTGCAATCAGTAAATGTCCCTTATAGATGCATTGTTTTAAAATGTGCAACTTGTGAAAAATAATGTCACGGATGTTTAACTCCGTAAAGTGTTAAAGCCACTAAATTATATTCAGTCTAAATTCGTACATTAGTGCAGGAAAAATAATAATCAAAACCATCTAAGGTTGATTTTGGAAAAGTATTTAATCAATTGGCTTCAATCTGTGCAAACTACTCCAAGAGGTTATCTCAAGGGAAAAAATAAATATCTTCACATTTTTCTACCAAACTTGAGTCACGTGTGATATAAGCCAAAGGAGCCTATCTCTGTTTGATTGGGCTGTCATGATTTTTTTTAGCAAATTTGTCCCCCGGGGTTCGTAGGCCATTAAGTAACTTAACCTGCCTTGTCTTTCAACAAAGGCGCAGACAGGCAAGATTAACATTTACTTTACACGGTTTAATTCTGTCTAAAGTGCTGTGTAATGGTGAACAAAATTGCGGCCGCCGTTTGATTGCTTACCTTGGTAATTCACGATATAAAATATTAATCTAGTTTGTAAAAAAAAAACCTGGTAAATTTGTTTACACAATAGTGCATAATTTGCAAATGTGGTGTGATTTTTGGAATATCTAATTTATGTAAATTGGGCAAAATCTCAGTGTTGTGACGTGAGCTTAATTTTCCATGCATTGTAAATTCCGCGCACACCTGTGTGTTGGGCATTGCTGACAGAAGGGCTAAATCAACAGAACACGCCACTGAATAATGAACCATAATTTCTCGACGTTATTTTGATAACCTTTTGAATGTACCAGCTGCTTTAGCTTGATACAGTCCTTTGTGTATGATTCTTGACCCACAGATGTGTTGAAAATCAAATGAATTGCAGGGGCCCTTTAAATTAATGTATACTTGTAAAGCAAGATTGCTGTACCAGGGTGGAAACAAAACATAAATTAGGTTTAACGTCAATCAAACATTTCATGATAACTAAATGTTGACCCGCTGATTAACAATTAAACATCTCAATGTTCGTCCCAAATTAAAAGAAAAATGTTACAGTTATGATGGGAACAAATAGCGTTGTTGACCTCTTTATAAATTTGTTCAGCTCCGCTCATTGTCGCCACAACACATTTGTATTCCTTGGAGGTCCGAAGGCAAGCCCAACCGCGATTGAGTCCGTAAAACCTTTCGGCAGTCATTTTGAATTCAATGACACGACGATTGTCAATATTTCCTCATTCATGTAGAAAAATAATATAGCACATTTTTAAATGTTGGTGTAAATAAGACATGTTAGTAATTACACGAAACAAAAATAGTACGTGCAAATGGATGATGCGTTTGTAACGTTTTTATACGTCAAATGCTGCCTTCCAACGTTCGGTCTGATTTAACTAATGCTTGCTACGTTGAGTTTCGTCTTCAATGCCAATGCAGTTTTGTCTTATAGCATTTAACTCTATGCCAAGTATCATTATTATTCTTGGGAATGTAGTGATTCATCGATTAATATTGACTCTAACACATGTATCCAGTCATGTGTGTCAGAATCGATCGCTCTTTCTAATTCATACATGCTTAAACTGCTAGATTCTATGTGACCCACAAAAACAAAAGGACAAATCAATTCATAAATCGAATTGTGACCTCGCAGCAAGAAAATGAATTGACTCCATGAAAATATTCAATTGTTACATCCCTAATATTTTTTTTTATCTTGTCAACTTGGTAAAGCAGTTTAACACGTAGGCTTTCGCGACCAATATTATTCATAATCAACGTTTTTGGGTTTAGATCGCGTTATTTATAAATGTGTCGTAATCCTCCACCACCCGACACGGCCAATCAGTAAAAAAGTGTCACGTTGACAAAAGACAAATAGTTCACTGCTTTAGCCCACCGGTGTGTTGAAGCGTGAAACCACAACATTTACAATTTGAGTACGACGTTTCGCTGGTAAAGCAGGCCACAAAATAGCCAGTAGAAGGGGCTCACGAGTGTAGGCCTGTCCACCAAGCAATTGTGAGCACGCGCAATTGCAGGCCTACGCCTTTATTTTTCCCCACACTGATCGTGAAACATGAGGAATGTAGGGGGGCACCACCGGGTTAGTTAGGGCTTGTGTTTCCCCGTCTGCTTTGTTGAGGCGTCATTGGCGCCGGCATCCCGGGCTTGTCCTGTGCCGCTCACTTTGTCCCCCCCCCGCGCGTATCCGCGAGCGGGTGCTCGGCTGGGCGCGATGAAGCGTGGCAGGATGGAGGAGGAGGAGGCTGCATCATCGGGTTTTAGCAATCGGCAGCGGGCGTCGGCAATTGGTCCTGTGAACTCGAGCCTCGGTTCTAATTGACTGCCCGACGAAGCTATCGGAATTGCGATCCAAAATTTAATGAACCCCTCCCGACGCCCTGATTGCACTCGCCCGATGCGTAATTGCTGCCGGCGTTGCACAAGTTGCCTGGAATGATTGCTTGCAATTTATTCGTAGCATTTTGTGTGTTGATGTATTTGTTTCTTTAAATGTTTTGGCAAATACATAATTTTTGTGGACGTTTTTATATACACGATATATATACGGTATAAATATATACACAACACTGCCTTAATAATTTTTCATAACTTAAACGGTGCAAAAAAAATACAGCTTGGTAATGCAATGTATTAAAATTACAATTTTGCACAATTGTTGCGTAATTATGGTGCGGTAAATGTGGGCGAAATTTTTAATTGAAAGCTACAATTTAAATTGGTGTTCGATTTACTTTTATATGAATTTATGTTTTGGTGGATTTTTTGATGACTTGTATTCTAATTCATTTGCGGCTTGCACTCTATCTATGAAATCTAGTAAGAGCGCTACTTGTTTTTGGTTTTACTTTTTACAAACCAGCATTATACATATTATCCATGCAGCCTGATACAGGGGGTTTCAAAACATCTGAAACTTTCAAAGGGAATTCAGAGGAAATGTGATATTCCCAGCAGATATTATTGGCGTCCTTAATGGAATCTTAAGTTACTCCAGGAATAAAAAATAAACCCTATTACGTCTAATTGCATTTGTCTTTATATGCATATTGGAATCGTTTCAGCGTTCACCACTGGTAGGCTCCTGCTGGTTTGGTAACACCGTGGGGTATTCTTGTTTAGGCAGTGCAAGTGGGATTGCTTGCAGTAGTTGTTTGTGTATTTATGTAGACCTGGTTAAAAAGGGGTTTTGTTTAAACTGAAGGAGAGCCATAACGGAAATGTTTCGCTGACAGTCCCACATCCGCGCGCCCCACTTGGCCCTTGTCAGATAGGAAGTCATCAGTGGGTTGTATGGGGTTCCAGTCAATTTAGTGTGCGTGTGTGTACATTTAGCCGAGTGCAGATATTTGTCTCAATTGTATCATCATTTTCATGTATGTTAATGTTTAAAAAAAAATTTTGGACAAATTGGTTGAAAATAATTTACAACCGTATTTCTGCATTAAAATGTATATTCAAATAAATACTGAAAATAAAGCTTCCATTATACACAATTTATAGTTTACTGAAGACATTTGTAATTCATTGTTACACAACTGAATCATTAGCAAAACAACTACAGTAATTAAATATTGAGCACGACCTTAATTAAAGTTTAAACTGTTTAATGACGGTGTCTTAACAAAATGATAATTTACAAGTGACATTTTAAAATCAATTTGTCTTGGATAACAAGAATATCCACTTGCCTTGAATGTTCTCTTGGTCACCGTAACAAAACATGACAGTTTAGCCATTTATTAGGCTTGTAAGAAAACCATTTCTGCTGTGCGAGGGCTGTTGGTGAAGGTTATTACGAATCTCTGCTGTATTCTAGCATTGTGTTGAAAGTGACGGGCTTGGTAAACCACAAAGTGTGACCTATTTAAACAACCGCAGAAACTGTGGCACAATTTCTGCAATTGAGTGTGCCTTCACAAAAATATATATTTTATGACAGTGTTTTCGTTCTAAGCAGCTGCCTTTTGTTCAGCTGTGCTATCACATTTAGAAGTCAGTAATGGACAAAATTAGTTTCACAAAATGTCGTTCGTATTTGGAAAGAAGCCATCAAATTATTTTGTTCAGATATTGCCAAATTAAGGTCTGCCAAAGAGCCATTGCTTGCTCGACAGATGTATACATTTTTTAAGCCTTTGGCTTCAACGGGATTGCTTTTGGCTAGTGATGTGCTAGATGGCAGTGCTGTATAGTTGTCGGCTTACGCCTTAACCACGTCAAAACATTGCCTGCGAAGCGGAACGCACAAAAATCAGGGGCCAATATCCGCGAAGCTCCACCGCCAGTGCCACGTGCAGGCAGGGAGAGACCCGTGGCGCTTGCTTCGGGTGGAAATAGAAACGGGAAGCGAAAGCGCGGGCAGGCGTTGGGTAGAAACTTGGTCACTGGCAAGAAGCCTACAGATGAAGAGGGGGAGGGCAAAGACAAAAGAAAAAAGTGCGCATCGAGGGCAGTTTGGGTTATGGATCATGGCCAAGTTTGTGGAGTGGCGGGCGGTGTGGTTTGGCATGCGGCTGATGGAAGGCGGCGCGGCGTGTGTCGTGAGCCAACCTCTCCATACAGCCTCTCCATTCCTCCAGGATGTCCTGGTATGCAAAACCACAAGATCGTTTTTTTTCCCCCTTTTACATATTCTCCCCAAGAAATGGTTTATTCCTAACTCCTCCTCCCCCAGCCATTTCTGCCACTCAATTAGAGGCAGCTGCAAACCCTGTGGCTAAAGAGGCGGAGGAGAGAAAATGTCAGTTTATTTGCCCCCCTTCTCTCCCCCCCTCTGCCATTGTGTTTGTGTTTCCCACTGAGCACTCGGGCAAATGCTGTCTACACATCCGTGGCTCGTGACATCTCCTGACCTTGTCCGCCCGCATTTAAAATTGCAATCCCGTTGACACGATTCGTGCGGGAGGAGATGGGAGGCGAAAGGCTACGCACGTGCGAATTCGTCAAAATTACGGATGAGGTGGGGGGTTCCTTTTTAGGCGTTCTTTAAAACGAATGCTGCTCATGATCAGTGCCACGGTGTGGCTTGCAGCTGGTGAAGTGTGCCCTGGCAGGAAGAGGAGATTATTGATCGGCGGCGAGAAAAAAAGTTCAATTACAAGCTCCGCAAATTTTTCAGCAGGAGTGCTCCTGACATGAGCCTTTAAAGAACTCGCTATTGGGTCAAACGGATTTAATTAGAGGGCCAAACGGAGGAATGGTGGCACATGGTGTGGGCGGAAGGAATACCTCAATTATAAAATGTCTCGTCTTTTTGCCAGAGTTGGCGTTAGGTTTATATTAGAAGCGTTTTTTTATTGTTTTTTTCTCCTTTTGGATAAGCGTTCTTAGTTTGTAAAACGTGGAGGAAAAGTACAATGTTAACTTCATTTATGAGTTCAATCATATCTGGAGTACTCCCATGTTAATATAAATATTTTATATAAATATTTTATATAAATATACTGTATATATACAGCAACAACTAGGTATATATGTATGTGGTACTTTTCACATCAGTGTTCGAACACTATATATAATGATTAATCATATTTTCTGTAAAATGTCATTTTAAACTTAATAAATACATTCTTTATTGAAAAAAAAATTGATAATGGCTTATTAATAATGAATCACATCCTCCTTATGCTTTTGGCACTTGTATTAAAATAGAGATCTACATCTTTTAAAATAACATCTTGAGATGCAGTCTTGAGGCAGTTTGTGAATCGAAACTTGTCGTACATGTTTTACAGTATACAATTTTATCCATTTTTACTCGTTATATGATTCCCGGGTCATTGTTATAATGTTTGCATACTTAGGCTTTCTTATGTTTGCTTTATATATGCGTGCTTAAACCATGTCATAACCATGATCGTAAGCAGTGACTTGTAACGGGAAAAAAATAATATCAGCCATTTCAGAGGGAGGGGATGGCATTTTGAATGGCAGGACATATTTAGCAGGATGGCATTTAGAAGAGCGTAACTTGCATAGTTGGAAGCAATTTTTACATCAGCAGCCTTATCTATTGTGGTGCACTGAACACCGCCAAGATTTTCCTACCACGACCAACGCCACCACTCCCTTCCCAGCAACACACCCTGCCTACGGCTGTGATTCCATCCCGTTATTTGCAACACGGCAGTTACCAGGACCGCACGGTCACTTGTTACCATGTGGATGATAAGTTGTGTTTATTATGATAAATATCACGTACATTGTGGTGCCTTTACAAAAACTGTGCAGTCCGTTCTGTGGACACGGTGACGTCACGGTCGCGCGACACTCACCTGATCCGACACTCACCTGATCCTCGTCAGACATTCATTCACCACTTGCCTGATGCTCGCCACTCACCCGGTGAAGCTCCGCCACCCCTCGGACTCCCCCCCCCCCCCTCCACACCCCCCTCCCTCCCCAACGGGGCTGATGTCTCGCAGTCGGCCCCGTGACACCAGGGCGGATAAGCGGCGTTGGGGCCATTTAACCAAATTTGTTGGCCAAAGGTTATTTTTTTTCGAACTTTCGCCTTGTTCACATCAAGTATACATCGTTTGCTTTCAAATGACCCTTCATTCATTGGAATTGGAGGAGCTGTCTATGAGATCTCTTGAGAAGGTCACATGCACACATGCATGCATACATAAATACGTGCAGACTAGCCACTTATGTTTCTGACTTTCATAATAATCATCCATTTATTATGTAGACGTTTCAATTGTTGGCTCAGAGGTAACCCTTTGTAACACATACATACATGCAAGCCTTTGGCTTTGCCACATTACACAGGTGTTTGGTTATTGTGAAAGTTGTACATGCAGATTAGTGGCATATCATTCAGACTTATCGGATGCTGGGTACGGAACGAGCCATCAATAGGACCATACAAGCATACAGCGTGGCCACGTATTACACACCGGGCGTTTGAGATGTTGGGCGAGGGGGAGACCCCCTGCAGCTACGCTCCGTCACGGTGAGAGTGGGCCGGCTGTGTGCGACAGGCCGCTCCTCGCTCTTCCCGCTGGAGGACGGCTTCCTGGACGACGGCCACGGCGATCAGTCGGCCGCCTCGAGCCTCAGCTCCCCGTCGCGCTGCTCTCCACGCAGCCAGAACGGAGAGCACGTGGAGCGCTACTCCCGCAAGGTCTTTGTGGGCGGCCTGCCCCCCGACATCGACGAAGGTAACTCGCTGGGGTGGTGGGCCGCGCGTGGTCTGTCACTGTCGCCGTCATCGCATCGATGTCGAGTGTTGTCATCGGAGTCGTCCGTTGGGGGGGTCGTCGCTATACCCGTCGTCACTGATGCCATTCAGAATCGAAATAATAATATTTAACTAGACTGGAGGGAATCCGATGAACTAAGAAGCTCTTTTTCACAGATGTCCAGTAGGGGCAGGTCAGAACGTTACAACAACAAACAATACAAAAAGATGATAGGAATAATCGCCTCTGTCAATGACCGTCATCACGGTCGTCGCCATTGTTTTCATCGCGCAGTCATATCTGTTGCGTCCACACAATCGATGCCAACACTATCATCATTGGTATAATAATTCTTGCCATGTAACAATCACCATTGCCATCGTCATCATCAAAATTATTTCTATCATAATCCCCATAACCCTTGTCATGGGTGTCATCGTCATCACCACATTTGACAGTACATAAATGTGCCTGTATTGTATTCCTTTTCACATTATGCAGAATAGATTGGCATGACTCGTGCTATGTGTGATACAGCAGCATTACCTTTTGAAAGCAATCCTGTTGTCAGAATACCTACTAGGCATTCTGACAACAGTTATAATGGTTCCCCACCTGCCAATTTCCAACCCCTCTAAAACCACTGGCCAAGCCTTTTGTAATTCACAGCAATCTGGGTACTTATCTAATGTCATGGGATCTTTAATGTCTGCGCACATTAGTATTTGGCATGCTGCTTTCATAATGTTCTCCATAAATGGGGCTGAGATCGGATTATTAGCTCGACATCCTCCACACAAATGCTGACCGTTCCCCCACCGTTGTCAGGATATTAAACACGAGAGGAAAGACCAGCCATAGACCGTATATGTTATCACTCCGAAGCGATTTATCAAGAGTCTGTGACACTACTGTGCGTCCGTCAGCCTGACTGTGTCTGTTGTTTCTCCGCCGCCCGTGGCCTAACGTTGTGCAGATGAGATCACTGCCAGCTTCCGGCGCTTTGGCATGTTGGTCGTTGACTGGCCCCACAAGGCTGAGAGCAAGTCCTACTTTCCTCCTAAAGGTGAGTGTCCCCATTGCGACAACGCCGATATTCTGCAGACTTCCATCGCTTGTCGGTCTTTTCCTGACGGTGAGATGGGCATGGACGGTCCCTTGCTTGCTCACAAGCTGCCCCGATGTACCTCATTTGCATCGGGTTTTATTTGCCAGCTCCCCAAGTTCTCTCCCGTGCAACTGTTCTAATGGCCCTGTGGGGATGTGGGGATTAGCAGTGTGAAATGTGTCAATTTAAAGTTTCTGAAATGCTCTCAAGGTAGAATGGTTAAAGAGTAGTCGTAAAGAAAGTTTATTTGAGCAATCATTATTTTTTAAAGCCTGCAAACTTTGTGCACCTTCTTATCTCTTTCTGAAATAAACCAGCCGCCCCCACAGAATCGAGCTTCTCACGCTGCCTCGGTAGAGCAGTACATGAAGTAGGTCCCCGCTAATCCCCCGCCAACCCCATTGTGCCGTGATCACGAGGGCCCATCGTAATGCTCCGGAGTGAGCGAGAGAGAGTTTCTCACACTAGGATGATGAAATAAGGTACAGTTTTGCAGTCTCAGCTTTATACAGTGAGGTCATGGAAAACGTAGGAATTTATTTTCCAGCAGCTTGCCTCGAACTTGCCCGTGTATTTTTCCGTCTCTGCGGCTATGCCTCGTTAAACACGCACAATCATCTTAATTCACCTCCACTTAGTTTTCCCTCAAATTTAAAACACAGCTCGCTAATAAAAACAGCCGCCGCATTTTTGGAATAAATTTAAGCCATTTTCCCTGCCTAAATATTTGCCGAAACGTTTAACTTATTTGGAAAGTTAAACTTAGTTTGGAAAATATCCTGTAATGTCCTCTGATGGTAAGTAATGGTAATTGTCGTGTCCAAGAGAGCGTAAGTCGAAGAGACGGAGCGATGAAATCAGCTAGTGTGCAGGTACCATGTGGAGTTACATTGTACGATTGCCAGAGGTGGTGGTTGGGTTGGGGAGGCTTTCATCCAGCAGTGGAATGACTATGGCGGATGATGATAGATTGCCATTGTAAAGCGATGATTTGATCCGCTGCAATTAGAGGCAAAGTGACATCCGTAATTTAAGGGCTGTTGCGTCCACATTTGGGCCTAACAGTGTGCCGATATGTCAACGGCTCATGCTTACTTGTCTCTTCACAACATACATATAGAGAAGGTGTATATGAATCGGTGCCCCTGCCAAACTTATGCACTGAAATATAAAAAAAAGTTGAAATATTGCCTTGTCTTAATTTTGCACGCACAACAAAAGTTAAAATTGCATATACTAAACCCGGGCGGGTTATAAAATTGTCCATATTGCATTCTGAATGTAAATCAAATCCCATTACCCACCAATCATTGCCAGGCCAAGCATTCAATATCGGAGCCTATGAGCTCTCCAGTCCATTTTATATTCAGACTCTTAAATTGGATTCTCCAACACGCATTTTGTAATGGTCTCTCTGCGGAAGCGTCGGTGGAATGGATTTTGTGAGTAATCACCCCCGATGCATATTGGCAAATGGGCCCCGTATGTTTTATGTATAAAGTCTGTAATAGAGATATGCTTTCTTTCCCTGCAAGACTCTTTAGATGTGAAAACTATTGTTCAACCTTGTCCTAATGCACCTGCAATTATGCACGTGTCCAAGTAGTTTGAGATGTGCTCTGTTATGTGACAATAGGTCAAGTTTTATTGTTTTGGAACTTTCTAGCAGTAAAAGGTGCAAATGTTCACAAGCAATGTGCGATAAAAATTAATTGGCTTTGCTGCTAACCTGGCCATCTCTAGCGAGGTTGTTTTATCTTTTTACTTGTCTCCAACTGGTTATTAACGTCCTGTTCTTTTTTAAAACTACTTTTAGTGACATCCGAGACCCAAACTTTCTTCCTCGGTTATTACATCGCACAAAGGGGTTCGTGAAATTCATTCTGCTGCTTTGGTGGAGAGAGGGTCTTCATGTGATTTCCATTGCAATGTGTGATTTAACTTTTCAATTGGTGACTGAGCAAGAAATTACCTGGGAAATGCATAGACTTTGCACAGAATTCTTTATGCGGACAAGATTGAAAAAAGGCAAAAGGAGAGGTTTCCATTTCTAATATTTTAGATTATGCCAAGCTTTGATTTCTCCGATGTTTTTCTTGTGATCGAGTCATTACTTTCAAACGGAATGTGCATGTATGTTATTTGTATTCTTTCCAACATTAATAATACAAGAAACTGTCAGCATGCTTGTATTTGTGAGTGCATGTTTGTGTACAAGCCCCTGAATGCTTGTTTGTGTGTAAATGTATCTGGGAGGCAGTAGTGTTGTGGTTAGCTTACTGTGCTATGAACCCGGTTCGATTCCTGCTCACGGCCGACATCGGTGACGATTATGTTAACCAGTCCTGGGCCTTTCCTTGGTTGACACAGCCTAAAATGAGTCCCTGGTGCGATGTGTAAACATCAGCACTGGGGAGACAAAGACAGCCGCGGAAAGTCTTGGCCAACCACCCCTTTGTTGTGTGCTGTGCTCGCCTTCACAGCAGTTACCCCAACAGTCGGTTAAGCCTATGGGAGTTGGGTGGTTACTTTGTCTTTGAATGTATCCACAATCCACACTGACGTTTGTGTGCATTTTAGGCCATTTATCCACCAATAATTTAGTACAATTTAAATTATCTACGTGTACAGAATTTGTTGCAACTAGTTATTACATTGAAGCTCAATGTGTAACTCCTTTTCTACTTTAAGCGGCAATTGCAGTTTTGTGAGGAAAAATGTATGTTGACTGGATATTCAAAGTTCGGCTTTTTAAAAATACACTTAACACGTTTTTTTCATATCAATGATGTAAAAATCGTGGAACTGCTCACAGGCAACAAAAATCACATGACGTCTTCAAATCAGAGCAGCACATCGTCTTGGTTCTTTCGGTAAAGTCACGTAGAATGGAAATAATAAAATAAAACAAATTAAACATAATTAAATAATTGTCACGACGTTTCGGCCACAACGCAAGAAGACAGACCTGTTCTTCACCTGAGGACGGCTGCTTGCGTTGTGGCCGAAACGTCGTGAGAATTATTTTATTATGTTTTATTTTTATTATTTTATTATTTCCATTCTACGTGACTTTACCGAAAGAACCAAGAAGATGAATCCCTGCAGTCACGAAAGCTTTAAATCTAAATCAGAGCAGCACAGTTTGCCTCGGTTTTCGTGTTGTGCTGTGTCACGTGTTGTGTTTGGCACGGTGCCTGAGCGAAACGTCGGACATCGTGCTAAATAACACGCGACGCAACACAAATACTTATCGCACAGCCGGTGCAGCAGCACAGAGTTGTAGCATTTACAATATTTCAACTTTAACAGGAAGAGATTGTATTAAAATGACAAGTTATGTTTTCAAATGAATCGGCACAAATGGGCAACGTTGCTAAAGGCGGATGTGCTTCAATGAGGAATCGCTTTATTTGTTGCAAGTCTCTACAGCCACTGCACGTAAACTGTCCGAAAAAGCATCCTGCAACTTACACACTCACGTTGACCCGAAAACGTACGAGGATAAACTGTGCATAGGCACTACAAAGAGGTGGCTTCATTAAACGTTATTTGGCCCCATAATTGGTAATGCGCAAAAATTTACACAGCTCGCTCAGATATGTCGTGGCGTTATTGGACAGTTTGCACATTTCAGCTATGGTTATTGCACGGTGATGGCGGTTGCTTTGTATTGCAAACCAAAGTGTCCTTTCTGTGTGTGCACCGAAGTCATTTGGGTAAACAATTATGAGGCATGATGGCCAGTTTACTGCCTGGTGCCCGAGATTGAGCAGAAGCCTTTGTGGGGTGGATTGCTTGTGGTAAGTGCCATCTGAACTTAGAAGTGGAATTGGATTTTTGACAGTGCGTTGAGCTTATCAGTTTGGCCGCCGTGATTCGCTAAGAAAAACAAAATTCGTGTATAAAACGCATTTATGTTTCAAAGTTTCAAATTGGAAACAAAAACCAAAGTGAATGTTGTCGCTTGGGTTGGGATCGCGAAAAACACACGGGAAAACAATGGATCCTGTTTTTGCAACTGTTTGCAGATTACACCATTGGAACCTCCTTTGCCAGTAGCAAAATACGATAATAATTGTTTTACCCTTTTATCTGGCAACAAAACTGACACCTTTTTTTGGTGTAAATGCTTACCCCGAGCTCTCATACTCTGATGGTGCATTGTCTTTGAGTTGTGCGCCTTTTAGCGTCATCTGGTCCAACACCATGTGAGACTAGGCTCTAATAAAAGCTGTCTCTGGTGTGGACCAATCAATTTCAAGGACAGTGCATACATTATTCGAGTTGTGTTTTTTGTTTGCATTCCGACTGCATGTATTGTGGTAAATGCAAACATGACTCCTTGTAAAAAAGGTGTCAGTTTTGTTTCCAGATAACAGGTGAAAAAACAATTATCATGGTTGCAGATTCTTTGTGGATTGGAAGGCAAATGTCCATTGGCAAATAGTTTATAAGCGGTTAAACCATTTTGGGAATAAGTAAATGTATAAATAAGGGTGAAATGGAATAATACCATAGGTTACCCAGAGAAATGTGTTAAGCCTGCACTGTGCGTGGAATCGCTGATGCGAGTGTTGTGTAAATATCACAACTGTCAGCGCCTGCCGCATAAAGTGTCGACATGGCAAGCCAATATGACATTACTAAATGGATGACTTTGGTAGACTCTCTAGGAGCTTGCCAAGCTTAATAAGCGCAAGTTAAGTGATTAGAATTTTACGTGCGTGCTTTTTTTACAAAGAGGAATTTTTTTCAAGGATATTAAATAAACGATGTTTAGTTTAAAAGGTCTTGGACAATCGCTTAACCAGCCGAAACCATTCTATCTCCAATCGTCAATACACAATGGCTGGTTTTATGATTGCCACTTGTTTTTTTAACATGTATTGACCTGGAAGGTCTATTGGTAAAGATTGTTTTCTTTTGGAGTTAATCATACTCGATGGAATTGCAAA